GGGACCGGTACCGACAGACAACAACCAACTACCAAAACACAGGTCTACGGTAGGACCTTTACCCTTCTTATCTCTCTCGTAGGCTCGAACTATACCCAAGCTGTCTCTTATACACATCTAGATGTGTATAAGAGACAGGAGTCGAGGTCGGGGTACCGTGAAGCGGGGGGGGAGGGAGGAACAATCGAGGCGGGGGAAGGCTGCACGGGAGGAGGGTCGGAGTCGGGGGGAGTGCGGGATCGAGGTCGCGACAAGAAGAAGAAGAAGAAGAAGAAGAAGAAGAAGAAGGAAAGAAGAAGGAAAGAACAAAGAGAAAGAACGAAGAGAAAGAAGAAGAAGAAGAAGAAGATAATTGGAAGAAGAAGAAGAAGAAGAAGAAGAAGAAGAAGAAGAAGAAGAAGAAAAGAATAAAAAAAGAAAATTGTCGTCGATTACTTATCTTCGTCGTGGAACAGCGACGGCGACGACGAGGATGATGTGCCGCAACGACGAGGACAACGAGCACGGCGACGACGATGACGTGGCACGATGACGACGATGACGATGACGATGATGATGTGGCACGGCGACGAAGCAGGGTGGGTCGGGCGGGTTCGAACCGCTCCGATACCAGTGTAACGAGCACGAGGCTGAGGGAGACAGGGAGAGCCGAGGGAGAGGGGAGAGAGAGGGAGACAGTGAGAGCACACACACACACTCACTCAAACACGACTGAGGGTCGGATGCAGACACAGTGGCAAGGACACAAAGTCGAAGTCTTGGATTCCGAATGCCGAAAACAGGAGCAAGTCCCACTGAGTACAAGTACAGCAGCTGAAACTGGTACGAGACTGGTTGCCCGTACTGTACGGGGAACCGTTACAAGTGCCGGTGACACGTACGGTACCAGGGGCATCTCTGTGACACGTACGGTACCAGGGGCATCTCTGCAAAAGCCCCGAGGGCAGAACTGAAAAATGTGGTATTTGAAAGTGGCGCCCGAATTGTAGCATGGCATTAGTTGTCCAAAATCCGACGGTACCAAAGGAGGGGTTTGAAAAAAGGGTGCCAGGCCAAAAACGGGATGTAGCAAAAACAGCAACAAAATAGACCAGGGGTCGAGCCCTGGTGGAGTCCGTAACACTACCCCTACGACAGATAGGCCCTGAGGGCCTATGCTGATAGACGGTCCTATAGCCTACAGCCGGGTAAGGTAGAGGCCGAGAGGCCGAAACTGATACGGTACCGGTCGGTCCAGTCAGTCCGGTCTAGGACGAGTCTAGGCTAGGGTAGGTTATACATAGGATGTAAACATCAGTTCAGGGCTTTTGGCGGTGGGTACCATGTACATCGCTGCTGTGCAACACACAAACTGGAAGTGGTGACAGCTCTGGATTGAAGAAGACGGACATAGCCAGACTTGCGGAGCGCCGGCCATAGCTGGGACCTGCGCTGTACTCTGACAGCACGCGGGCTGTACAGAGGTCTGGGTTATTAGAAGTCTGCTGGAGGCAAGACAAGTTGGTGCCCTGCTGGACCCTCCTCCGGAGTAGGGTTACAAGGTTGTGGCGCTGCAGCCATAGCTGCAGCTTCTTCCTCAGAGATCATCTTGTCAGGCGCTGCTGCAGACTTCCACCCGGGAAGTCATTCGACACTTCATCATCAACAGATATTGTGGCGCTGGACTTCTTCTTCATCCTCTGAGTGGCGCTTGGCCTCAGAGGCCTGTTTCAGGGTGGTGCTTGATGTTTCATGGACTCAGGGGTCGTAATAGCGGTTCATCACGGTTGGGGAGTGCAGCGCTGCTCATCTCTGAGCAGCGCATCATAGTTCTGAGGTTATTCTGACAATTCGAGACTCTGAGTTTGATAAACAGTGTTGATACTGGGTTCAGACTACCATCATTTCATTGTTTCCTGGATGTGATCTACTCGGCTTTCCTTTATGACTGGTTGTGAGGATTGAGTGGAGTGAACTGCACTTTCATTGTACCCTGTCATATCGCATGGTCAAGTCTTCCGCTGTGTTTATCTCTTCCTGTGCGGTGTGATACTCCTATCCTCTCCCCTTCCTTCTGTGTACGTATGGGCATACCTGGAAGTCTATGTGAGTGAGTGTTGGCCTTCAGGCAACAGACAACCAGAATCATAACAGATGGATAAGGACTCAACACATCGCCCAGAGTTAGCGATACCCCTGAGAAAAGTGGTCGACTTTACTCACACCATTTTACCCACAACAGCCCCAATGAATAGATTCAGAATCAAAGCACTCTGTTGCAGACAACGAGAGCATTTGCGATGAGACAGTCCAATTAGACAGTTTTTTGGTTGTCCTTGGGGTACCCCTTCCATTTGTTCTTGCAGCTCCCCTTTTACTGTGCCTCTTACGTACAAGGCTACCCACATTCATCGTGGTTGAGCGGCAGCTGCCCACATCCCCGTGTGTCTTCACGACCCACTTGCACGTTATTTCAGGAGGCAGAGTAAAAAGGACGGTATGCTCCTGTGCATTTCACTTAAGATCTTCGCCTTATACTTGGTCCTCGTGTCCTTCCTTCCGTTCATTTCATTTCTGATCTTCGCCTTATACTTGGTCCTCGTGTCCTTCCTTCCGTTCATTTCATTTCTGATCTTCATATCGTCTGTTCTCTTAACGATGCTCATTCGTATGTATTTGTTAGCAGCACAAAGGGAGTGGAGGGGAGGGTGGAGGGAAAGGGATAGGTCTAAGCATTCACCGCTGGAACAGACTACTCTAGAATGGCGCAGGGTTGCAATTTTTTTTTGGGGGGGTTGAGGAGCAGTTAATGCCTATGGCAAGTGGCCACGCCTACAAACCGGACAGGACTGGTTCGGGTGTGGACTATGGAAGCACCACATCCAATTTTCGCAGTCACAATTGCTGCATCGAATGGCGCAGCGCAGACAGATGTCACAGGCTACATGGCTCCTACATGCTAGGAACACAGAGGCACGTCGACCGCAATTATAGAGCCACTGTCGTTCCAGCCCGTCTACAAATTGGACATGACATGTCAGGGTGTCGTACATGAGTACAGTACTGACTGTCGTCGCACGTATGGAAGCAAAAACTCACATGGACTATCCCTTCATAATCCTCACGGCACAAGGCATGCAAACCACATGCTAGTTGAATCTCCGAAGGGTCATCACAAAGCGGCATAGAGCATCTTTCTTGGGTTTCCTCGGTATTTATTCCTTCTCTATGGGCAGACGACGACAGGGAGGATCGGTCCAAAGCAACGGCGTTCAGCTGCTGCAAGATTTGGTCCGCAACAACTTGCCCTGGTAGTGATAAACTATGAGCCAATCGCTCTGACGATGGTTCATATAGAAGTCTATTTCCTCCTCGGACTGCTGTGTCTGACGTTCGTCTGGCAGGAAAGAGGGAGATCCGTCAGCGGTTGCTAGGTGTATGACCAACACCGCATGTGGGACATGCTAGGAGAGGATGTGGAGGGTGATGGCACCGGGGATAGTCCACACAGTAAGGACACA